TATTTATTTCATATAACTGAAAATTATAAGAGTCTGTTTGGCAGTTTATTTATGAGCTTATAGTTTATTTTAAATTACTAATAAACTATAAGCTCTGTTTGGTAATGTTCTCAAAATAAGTTCATAGTTTAAAATAATAGCTTATTTTGGAACGCTATCTTAGGTAACATATCAAAATACGCTAGGAACTTCCTAACTTTTTTTACATCTTTGTCCTTATTATTTTAAAGAAATGACATCTTTTACCCTTCCCAATTAAAATCATTTTCTCTTCTTCCTTATGCGCAACTTTCACCGCACATAATAATAATAATAATAATAATAATAATAATAATAATAATAATAATAATAATAATAATAATAATAATAATATTATTATTATTATTATTATTATTATTATTATTATTATTATTATTATTAGATGAAGAAAATTCACAATAATAATACTACTTCATTATGAGATTCTAGATCAGGATTATGCTAATAGTTTTATTTTAAAATGTTAATTTTTTTAAGACAATATGTTAAATTTTAATATGTAAATAAATTAATTTAAATTTTATGAAAATATCATTTTCTGTCTTTTTACATTTATCAGTTTATCAAAAAACTAATTTTACCAAACACTTTCAAGTATAACAGCTCTTAAGTTTTCACCTCATAGCTTATAGCTTTACAACTTTCAGCTACCTTTTCAGCTAAGTTTGCAAAACATAGCCTAAATGAAACTAAAAAAAATTATAGCCACCAAACTAATAGGAAATCAAAAAATTAAATTATTTTTAGTGCGAATTAATATAATTGGATACAATTATCATAACATACAAATGTTTGGTATTATATTATCAAAATTTAAAAGTTTGGATATAGTTGTCGAAAGACATAAATGATTTTTTTTTTTTGAGTGAATTTCATTTTTGGTCCTACTGTTATAGGGGTCATTCCAATTTTAGTCCACCATAATTATTTTTGCCACATTGCGTCCACTATTATTAAAAGTGTTCCAATTTTAGTCCACGAAAAATCTTAAAATGGACTAAAATTGGAACACTTTTAATAGTAGTGGACGCAATGTGGCAAAAATAATTATGGTGGACTAAAATTAGAAATGCACCTATAACAATAGGAGCAAAAATGGAATTCACTTATTTTTATTTTTTTGGTCTTTAAATTAATTTTTATTCATTTTGTCATATTATATTTTAAAGGTACTAGACTACTAACTAATCTTGAATAGCCAAGAACCTTGTGTTCAGATGACATGTAGTGATTCTCGCATATAGGATACTACAATGTAATAGAATCGGTAGCTTTCAAAAAAAAAAAAAAAAAAAAAAAAAAAAACTATTTATATTTTTACCATTTACTAAATATCCCAAATATATTATAGTAATTAATAATCTCCATTCAATTAATTCTTCTTTTTGAGACTTCATAAATTATCCCTAAGTATCTGTATCCAAATCTCCTCACTAAGTATCAGTATCCAAATCTCCTCAATTTTACAAGATTACCATGCACCTGCCTGTACGGACATAGCTCACTAGTTCAGTAGATAATATTTGGGAGAAGAGACAAATGTTCGAACCTCGGCAGCGAATATGTGAGGATTATATCCAAAGTGGGCAGATCCCTTGTGCGCACTGACATTTGACCCTGTATGCTGAGCCATGGACTCACCATGATTTACACATCTTCCCAAATGTTTTGTCGGACCCTTAGGGTCGGGGATTCGACTTTTTGGGAGAAGATTACCATGCACAAGATCTTATATTTTTAAAAGGCAATATTTATATTACAATATTATTCTCTTAAATTTATATCTTAATATACACATATTTATGCGAACACTAGGGCTATGTTTGGCAAAACTTATTTAGGAGCTTATAGCTTATTTTAAGCTACTAATAAGCTATAAGCTCTGTTTGGTAATGTTATTAAAATAAGCTCCTAGCTTAAAATAAGAGCTTATTTTAGAACGCTACTTTAGGTAGCGTTCAAAATAAGCTCCTAACTTCTTAACTTTTTTCCATCTTTATCCTTATTATTTTAAATAAATGACACAATTTACCCTTCCCAATTAAAATCCTTTTCTCTTATCCTTAAATCTGCAACTTTCACCGCAAATATTATTATTATTATTATTATTATTATTATTATTATTATTATTATTATTATTATTATTATTATTATTATTATTATTATTATTATTATTATTAGATTTGCAACAATATTGCTACTTCATTATGAGATGCTAGATCATGATTATGCTAATAGTTTTATTTAAAAATATTTTTTTTAAAGACAAAATGTTAAATTTTGATATGTAACAAACTAATTTAAATTTTATGAAGTGACGGGCATATTTTACACTCATATTTTAGGTACATCTTTATAATAATTTTGCATTAATTATTTAATAATTTGTTCTTTTTGGAGTTTAACAATTAATGAACTAAATATTGTACTAAATATATATATATATATATATATATATATATATATATATAATATATAATATATATAATAATTAATATATAAATATATATATATATATATATATATATATATATATATTATAAATGTAAGTTATGTTGTGGTCTAATCCATTGCAATTGAATTTATTAATCCTAACATTTTATCTCTTTCTTTCCTTTTGAATAGGTAAGCAGCACAACTAACAGAAGAAATCAGACATGCCACAAAAATAGGAGAATAAGTGGTAGAGGTTCATTAGGTTTAATTTAGAAAGTGTATAAATAGTATAAGTGTTTTATTGTAAAATGTTCATTCTTCCATCCTCTATAGTATTCGTTGAAGTTGTTATCAATGTCCATTTGTGGCTAATTTCTAGTTGGTTTAGTGAATTGAAGCCCCGGAGTTCATAACGCTGTAAGGTTATTTATTTAACTTTATAATATATATGTTTTTATGCATTTTGAGTATTAAATATTCTTCTAAATTATTTGAATAGTTGCATCATTTAATTGCTAGGGAGGCCTACTAGTTATTTATTTGATATAATTATTTGCTATATTAGATAATGTTGTGCTACAAATTATTCTAATATTCAGTAGCAACTGAGGTTAATTATTGACGGCTTAGTGATAATTGGTCTCGGGTAGAATATATTCCTAAATTAAATGCAACCGCTTGTGCTTGTGTTATTTAGTTTGTCGGTTTTCCTAGTTCCTATTGCTGCTACTAAATTAAATCTATAGCGCTTGTCTTAGATTATTTAGTAGTTAGGGGTAATTAAACCGCTTGTGCTTTATTTACCTACAACTAAGGGAAAACAGAAATGAAATAATTTCACGACAAATATTCAATTGCATATTAATTACTTTATTAATCAATGATCAGTGTTGAATTCCGGTGGTGGATCTTTACTAACCAAGGTTTCTTATTATAAGTGTTTTCGATATATTATTTTCACTGTTTATTCGTTCGATTAAATTTCTCGTTTATTTAATTTCTCTTTTATTTAATATTTATTCTCGATATATTCCAAACCCCGCATTGTTTCCTTAAGCACAAAGGTTAAACTAGTTACTCCTCGTGGGATCGATCCTTACTCCCGCTACTACGTTTGTAAGGTTTTAATTTGGGAGCCTACGACAGCTCACCAAATTTTGGCGTCGTTGCCGGGGAGATTTTCTAGCTTATTTTGTGTTTATTTAATTATTTATTTCTTTATTTATTTATTTATTTTTCATTTGTCCCAAAAAAAAAAAGAATTTAAAAAAAAAATCTTCTCTTTCGTTACTTTTGCATAAATGCTGCAATATATTTTCTTTTCTTTTTTTATGCCTATAACTCGATCTGCTAATAAAAAAATCTTGCCGTACTATCCGAAAATTGAAAGAACTATACGCAGGTGGAGGAAACAAGCTTTGAGCAAATTGGAGTTTAGTGATCTGGCTACCAATTCTGCCAATTCTGATTTAGAAGAGGAACCCATGGCTCAAAATCGGACTTTAAAAGAGCTTGGAGCTTCAAATCTAGATCAACAACCATTATGCATCACCTTCCCTGCTCTGGATGCCAATGTGCAATTCGAACTAAAGTCTGGATTAATTCATCTTTTGCCTTCTTTTCGTGGACTTGCAGGTGAAGATTCTCACAAGCATTTAAAGGAATTCCATGTGGTGTGTTCGAGTATGAAACCCACTGGGGTTACTGAGGAACAAATCAAGTTGAGAGCATTTCCCTTTTCGTTGAAAGATTCAGCGAAGGATTGGTTATACTATCTACCTTCTGGGAGCATCACCACATGGAATAACTTGAAGACAATGTTCCTTGAAAAATATTTCCCAGCTTCAAGGGCGGCCAACATTAGAAAGGAAATATGTGGTATAAGGCAAAACAATGGAGAGTCATTGTATGAATATTGGGAGCGTTTCAAGAAACTATGTGCAAGCTGCCCACACCATCAAATTAGTGATCAATTACTCATTCAGTACTTTTATGAAGGACTCTTTTCAATGGATAGAAGCATGATTGATGCCGCAAGCGGTGGTGCTTTAGTTGACAAGACACCGGACGCTGCGAGAACTCTAATTGCAAACATGGCTGCAAATTCTCAACAGTTTGGCAATAGACTTGTCCAACCGTCTAAGCAAGTGAATGAGGTAAATATTTCTGCTCTTGAACAACAAATTTCTGGTTTAACTACTCTTGTTCGTCAATTAGCAGTAGGCAATATGCAAACTGTAAAAGCATGTGGAATTTGCTCGGTAGTTGGGCACCAAACTGATGCCTGCCCAACTCTTCAAGAAGAACCTACTGAACAAGTTAACATGGCTGGAGGTTTTCCTGGGCAACCTCAAGGTAAGTATGATCCATTTTCTAACAAATATAATCCTGGATGGAGGGATCACCCAAACCTTAGTTATGGGAACTCACAAGGAAACCAGTTTGTTCAGAATCGCCCCAATTTTCAGCAGTATAGACAACCATTTCCTTCCAAACAACAACCAGTCCAAAGCTCTAGCTCAGGTATGAATTTAAAAGAAATTGTTAAATCCCTTGCTACTAACACTTTACAGTTTCAGCAGGAAACACAACAATTTCAACAAGAAACAAGAGCTAGTATTCAAGAAACGAAGGCTAGTATTCAGAACTTGGAAAGGCAGATGGGTCAACTAGCGACTACGGTAAGTCGGTTGGAATCACAGAGTTCTGGCAAACTACCCTCGCAAACGGTGGTTAATCCAAGAGAAAATGCAAGTGCAATTGTGTTGAGAAGTGGTAAGGAAATTGAAGGGCCTGCGGTTGCTACCCCATCAGTGAACCAAGAAAAAGAGGGAACTAACAACAATGAAAAATCTCAAGGTAAGTCTCCCAACCCTACTGATTATGAACCAGTTCCCCCATTCCCCCAAGCTTTGTTAGAATCTATAAAAGGAATGAAAGATGAAGAGTTATATGAAACTTTCAAAAATTGTGAAGTGAATATTCCATTACTTGATGCAATAAAACAAGTTCCTAGATATGCTAAATTCTTAAAGGAGTTGTGTACAACAAAAAGGACACAAAAGTCAAAAAAAGGTGAGAAAGTGCTAATGGGTAAGAATGTTTCTGCTGTGATTCAAAGCAAGCTTCCTGAAAAATGCAAGGATCCAGGTATGTTTACTATTCCTTGTATGATAGGCGATACTAAACTTGAGAAAGCCATGCTAGACTTAGGAGCATCTATTAATGTTATGCCATATTCTGTGTATGCTTCTTTAAAACTTGGACCTTTGAATGAAACTAGTGTAGTTATCCAGTTGGCTGATAGGTCTAATGCATACCCCAAGGGTGTAATTGAAGATGTATTGTTGCAAGTTAATAATTTAATCTTCCCTACTGATTTCTATGTGCTAGATATGGAAAATAATGATCATTCTGCACCTATTCTGTTAGGAAGACCATTTTTAAAAACTGCAAAAACAAAAATTGATATTCACAGTGGTACACTTACTATGGAATTTGATGGTAATGTTGTTACATTCAATATTTATGATGCTATGAAATACCCTGGGGGTGATAACTCTGCTTATTTTGTTGATATTATTGATTCATTGGTTGAAGAAGTTTTTGAATTTAATGGTGAAGACAAATTAGAAGTTGTTATTTGTGAACACCTTGAAAAAGGAAATAATGAGTTTTCTCTGAGTGCCAATTTACATGAAGTTATTGCATCATTGAATCATTGTCCTAAATTACACCAACAAAATAATGTTTCTTATATGGCTTTACCTGTCTCTATCAAAAAATTGTTACCATCTGTCGTGCAGGCACCTATCCCTGAGTTGAAGCCTCTTCCCAACCATCTTAAATATGCTTTCTTAGGAGAAAATAAAACATTGCCAGTCATAATTTCAACTAAACTCTCTGCAATAGAAGAGGAAAAACTTGTCCAAGTGCTAAAAGAACACAAAACTGCCATTGGGTGGACAATTGCAGATATCAAAGGGATAAGTCCGTCCACTTGCATGCACCGAATTCTTCTAGAGGAAGGAGCAAAACCATCTCGTCAACCACAAAGAAGGCTAAACCCGCCCATGATGGAAGTAGTCAAGGAAGAGGTCCTCAAACTCCTTGGAGCTGGGATAATCTATCCTATTTCAGATAGCAAATGGGTTAGCCCAACTCAAGTGGTTCCTAAGAAAACAGGGATTACAGTTGTCAGAAATCAAAATAATGAACTTGTCCCCACTCGTATTCAAAATGGGTGGCGAGTTTGTATAGACTATAGGAAGTTGAATGCTGTTACAAGAAAAGATCACTTCCCTTTACCATTTATTGACCAAATGCTAGAAAGGTTGGCCGGTCGCTCTTATTTTTGTTTTCTTGATGGTTATTCAGGTTATTTCCAGATTCCAATCGCTCCGGAAGACCAGGAAAAGACGACTTTTACATGTCCCTTCGGCACTTTTGCATATCGACGCATGCCGTTTGGCCTCTGTAATGCCCCGGGTACCTTTCAGAGGTGTATGGTTAGCATATTTTCTGATTATGTTGGGCATATGATTGAAGTTTTCATGGATGATTTTACAGTTTATGGCGACTCTTTTGACTCCTGCTTACATAACCTTTCACTTATTTTGAAAAGATGCATAGAGAGTAATCTTGTGTTAAATTCTGAAAAATGTCATTTTATGGTTAACCAAGGTAATGTTTTGGGGCATGTTATTTCATCTAGTGGGATTGAGGTTGATAAAGCCAAAGTTGATATTATAGAGTCTCTGCCTTATCCTACTACTGTGCGGGAAGTCCGCTCTTTTCTTGGACATGCAGGTTTTTACCGAAGGTTTATCAAAGACTTCTCGAAAATAGCACTACCTTTATGCAAATTGTTGCAGAAAGAGACATCCTTTGAGTTTGACAAAAAGTGTAAGGGAGCATTTGACGAATTGAAGGAGTTGTTGACGTCTGCGCCGATCATTCAGCCACCTAACTGGAACTACCCATTTGAGATTATGTGTGATGCAAGTGATCACGCAGTAGGGGCTGTGTTGGGCCAAAAGATCGGGAAATCATCCCATGTTATTTATTATGCTTCTAGGACTTTAAATGATGCTCAGAAAAACTATTCTACTACAGAAAAAGAACTTTTAGCCATTGTTTTTGCTTTAGAAAAATTTAGGTCCTATTTGCTTGGCACCAAAGTTATCGTTTATTCTGACCATGCAGCTCTTCGCTACTTGATGAAAAAGCAGGAAGCCAAACCAAGATTGATAAGATGGATTCTCCTCTTAAGTGAGTTTGATGTGGAGATCAAAGATAAGAAGGGGTCAGAGAATCTTGTGGCCGATCATTTGAGTCGGTTGGTACACATTGAACCTGAACCTCCGCTGCAAGAAGCATTCCCTGATGAGCACTTATTGGCTGCGACTGTGGTTTTACCTTGGTATGCTAATGTAGTCAACTTTTTGGTTGCCAACAAGTTTCCTCATAATTCGTTTAAAGCCCAAAAAGATAAAATCAGGAGTAACGCCAAGTACTATGTATGGGATGAACCGTACCTCTGGAAACATTGTGCTGACCCGGTGTGTACCTGATAGCGAAATTGCCTCAATCCTTGCCTTTTGTCATTCTTATGCTTGTGGCGGCCACTTTGGTGCTAAGAGAACAGCAAGGAAAGTGTTGGACTCTGGGTTTTATTGGCCAACTTTATTTAAAGATTCATACTCATTTTGCAAGTGTTGTGATGCTTGCCAAAAGTCAGGTAATTTATCCCGGAGAAATGAAATGCCACAAACTCCGATCCTATTTTGTGAGGTCTTTGATGTTTGGGGTATTGATTTTATGGGCCCATTTCCTGCCTCTTTTGGTTTTGTCTATATTTTACTTGCTGTTGATTATGTTTCGAAGTGGGTAGAAGCTAGAGCTACCAGGACTGATGACTCTAAAGCTGTTGCAGATTTTATCAAATCTAACATCTTTTCCAGGTTTGGCATTCCAAGAGCTATAATAAGTGATCAGGGTACTCACTTTTGTAATCGCACCATCGAAGCATTGCTTAAGAAGTACCATGTCACCCATAAGGTGTCAACTGCCTACCACCCACAGACTAATGGGCAGGCAGAGGTGTCCAACCGAGAGGTGAAGTCAATCCTTGAGAAAACAGTCAACCCAAACAGAAAGGATTGGAGTTTGCGATTAGATGATGCATTGTGGGCGTATAGAACCGCATACAAAACACCTATTGGTATGTCCCCTTATCGCATTCTGTTTGGGAAAGCTTGTCACCTTCCCGTTGAGTTGGAGCACAGAGCCTATTGGGCTGTCAAGAGCTTTAATATGAACATTGATGAAAGTGGCCTACACCGGAAGTTGCAACTTTCTGAGTTGGAGGAGATTCGCAATGAGGCCTACGGGAATTCAAGAATCTACAAAGAAAAGACAAAAGCTTTCCATGACAAGATGCTTTTGAGAAAGGAATTTTCAATTGGACAAAAAGTCCTCCTCTTCCAGTCACGTCTTCGGCTATTCCCAGGTAAGTTACGTTCTCGTTGGGTTGGTCCATTTATTATCACTAATATTTTTCCTCATGGGGCGATAGAGATTCAAAGTTTACAGACTTCAAAGATATTCAAGGTTAGTGGCCATCGGCTTAAACCTTACCATGAAGGGGCTCAAGTTGAATATATTGCCGACATACTTCTTGAAGATCCCAGCTATTTTGAATAATATGAACAACTAGAAGGGGAGTTTGTTCTATTATTATTTTTTTCTTTTTCTTTTTCTTAATCTTTATGTTACTTTTAATAACCCTTTTTCTGTGCTTTTTTGTTCAACATTGGGGACAATGTTGATAATAAGTGTGGGGGAGGGAATTTAGTTTTATTATTTGTTTGCATATGTCAAAATTTTCAAAAATTTTTACAAATATTTTACTAGTATTTTATGCAAAATAAGTATTATTTTGAAAAAAATTATTTTATTTTTCCTTTCTTGGAATTCATAACATGATTGAATAAATAGTTTGGCAAGTTGTGATTAATTTGTTAGCATTTCCTGTTCGATATGTAGTGGCTAGATTAAGTAAGCAATAAACCTGTGAGATTTTGAGCCATTAACTGACACTTCGGTCTTATTTTCTCTCTATTGTGTGATTTCTTCCATAATTTTGTTTCTCTAGAACTTGCCTTGATTCTCTTTTAAAGCTAATTAGACCATGCATGATTCAAGTGTGATTAAGGCCATTATTTGATCTTGAGCCTCACTAGCCAAATAACCGATTTGTCCTATGATTTATTTCCCATTGTTAACCACTTTGAGCTTTATGGCCATTCTTTTCTTTATTTTGAACCACATTACAAGCCTTTTATATCTAAAACTAATGCCTTCACCCAGCTGAATAACTAGTGGAGCAAATTTTGAATTATTCTTGTAATCTACGTGAGGTTGTGAGGAAGAAGTGTGGGGGAGGTCACTTTCTTGTGTTAGTATGATTGAGAATGAGGTGTGTTGTATCTTCATTACCGATTTGTCGCTGGTCTTTTATGAAAAAGAAAACGAAGACAATTCATGACCAAAAAAATATGGAGACTGAAAAAAATGAAGAAATGGGAGAAATGATGAATGTATGTTGAAAAAAATGTTGCTGAAATTTATGAGAAAAATGAGAAAGAATCAGCAATTAGTTTTGAGTTGAAGCCACTCCTAAATAAATGAAGCAAGGGGAAGTTCTTGTAATTTTGAGGAAGAATTTTATATTTCTGAGAATGATAATTGAGTTGAAATGTCAATAGGAAATGCTTTGCATGAAAAAACTGAGGGTGTTGATGAGCAAGGGTGTTAGATTCTTTGTATTTAATTGCTCCTCTAGTTTGAAGGTTTTGTTTAAGCTACTTTCCTAAATATTTCCTACCTTAACCCTAGCCCCATTACAACCTGTGAAAAGTCCTTATGATTTGTGTCATGCATGACTCTTGTAGTGGTGATTGAGAAGATATGCAAGCCTATGGTAGAGCAATTTTATAGGAATGAACTTGAGTGAAATTTATACCCATCAAACACTTGAGTGATGAGTGACATTCCTGTGAGGGCTTACTTGTTTAGTTTTCTCCATTTTCAAACAGGGTGCTAACTTATTAATTGCAGGGTGCTTATGATTGTTGTTCATGATATGTTATGAGTTTTGGGAATTTCATTTTAATTTACTTTGCAAATAATATTTTTGCTTGGGGACAAGCAAACGTTTTAGTGTGGGGGAATTTGACGGGCATATTTTACACTCATATTTTAGGTACATCTTTATAATAATTTTGCATTAATTATTTAATATTATTTAATAATTTGTTCTTTTTGGAGTTTAACAATTAATGAACTAAATATTGTACTAAATATATATATATATATATAATATATAATATATATAATAATTAATATATAAATAAATAAATAAATAAATATATATATATATATATATATATATATATATATATATATATATATTTGCTAGTATATAATATATATATTAGTATGTATTCTTATTAGTATGTATTCTTATATATTATATAATATTTAGTATACAGTACGTAACATATATATAGATATATATATATATATATATATATATATATATATATATATATATATATTATAAATGTAAGTTATGTTGTGGTCCAATCCATTGCAATTGAATTTATTAATCCTAACATTTTATCTCTTTCTTTCCTTTTGAATAGGTAAGCAGCACAACTAACAGAAGAAATCAGACATGCCACAAAAATAGGAGAATAAGTGGTAGAGGTTCATTAGGTTTAATTTAGAAAGTGTATAAATAGTATAAGTGTTTTATTGTAAAATATTCATTCTTCCCTCCTCTATAGTATTCGTTGAAGTTGTTATCAATGTCCATTTGTGGCTAATTTCTAGTTGGTTTAGTGAATTGAAGCCCCGGAGTTCATAACGCTGTAAGGTTATTTATTTAACTTTATTATATATATGTTTTTATGCATTTTGAGTATTAAATATTCTTCTAAATTTATTTGAATAGTTGTATCATTTAATTGCTAGGGAGGCCTACTAGTTATTTATTTGATATAATTATTTGCTATATTAGATAATGTTGTGCTACAAATTATTCTAATATTCAGTAGCAACTGAGGTTAATTATTGACGGCTTAGTGATAATTGGTCTCGGGTAGAATATATTCCTAAATTAAATGCAACCGCTTGTGCTTGTGTTATTTAGTTTGTCGGTTTTCCTAGTTCCTATTGCTACTACTAAATTAAATCTATAGCGCTTGTCTTAGATTATTTAGTAGTTAGGGGTAATTAAACCGCTTGTGCTTTATTTACCTACAACTAAGGGAAAACAGAAATGAAATAATTTCACGACAAATATTCAATTGCATATTAATTACTTTTTTAATCAATGATCAGTGTTGAATTCCGGTGGTGGATCTTTACTAACCAAGGTTTCTTATTATAAGTGTTTTCGATATATTATTTTCACTGTTTATTCGTTCGATTAAATTTCTCGTTTATTTAATTTCTCTTTTATTTAATATTTATTCTCGATATATTCCAAACCCCCCATTGTTTCCTTAAGAACAAAGGTTAAACTAGTTACTCCTCGTGGGATCGATCCTTACTCTCGCTACTACGTTTGTAAGGTTTTAATTTAGGAGCCTACGACAGCTCACCAGCTTATCAAAAAGCTAATTTTTCCAAACACTTTCAATCATAACAGCTAGCTTAACAGCTCTTCAGTTTTCAGCTCCGAGCTTATAGCTTTTTATCTTTCAGCTCCTTTTAAGCTTTCAGCTCCTAGCTTATAGCTTTTCAGCTAGGTTTGCCAAACAGAGCCTAGATGATTGGTTCATTTTGTATCTAGGGAAAATTGTAAAAAATGCCCCTCTATAATATGCCAATTATCAATGTCACCCGTGAATTATGAGTGGTGTAAATGTTGCCCCTTAATTATCAAAATGGTGGACATATAGCCCCTCCCGTAACGGACCTGTGTTCCCCACCACTGTCCATCGCTGGTACTTCGAATAGAGGGAGGAAAAAAACTACTAAATTATATATTTACTTCGAATTAACGGTGTCGTACACTAACGGGGAACCACATGTCCGTTACGAGAGGAGCTATATGTGCACCGTTTTGATAATTGAGGGGCAACATTTACACCACTCATAATTCAGGGGTAACATTGATAATTGGCAAATTAAAGAGGGGCATTTTTTACAATTTTCCCTTGTATCTATTAATTTACAAATAAATGTTTTAACTTGTATAGAGTCCGTCAATTTGAAAACAACCAATAAATTTCTATTAATTTATAAATTAATGTTTTAACTTGTATAGATCAGAGTCGGTCGAACAACCAATAAATTACTATCGACTTATAGATTTACACATGCATCTACTCCTAAAATAAGAATATATTGAAAATTGATGCTAATCACACAAAGATGATGACTAAATAAGTTTGTAACTCTATGTATAACATCAAAATTTATAAAATGTAACTTGTTGTCACGTTGAGTTTTGAATAATTTAAAATCAAAGAATTATCAAGCATAATTTAAAATAGTTTTTTGAAGATATATTGTTTGGATTAAAATTCAAAACATTAATTGTAACAATAATTGTATTTGGTATAATTATAATATTTATATCATAATAGATTAATAGTATGATTAGGTGGGTGGGTAAGTAGGTAAGTGACTAAGTGTTAGGTGAAACAGAAGTTTGTAGGTAATAAAAATTGTAATTATAAATATAATTATGTGTGTTTTTTATATTCAAATTAAATATAAGAAAATATAATAGATAATTTTTCGATTAGTTTTCTATTTTAAGAATAAATAGAGTGAATTCCATTTTTGGTCCTACTGTTATAGGGGTGTTTCCAATTTCAATCCACTTTAATTTTCTTTGCCACTTTACAATCACTGTTATTGAATGTGTTCCACTTTTAGTCCACCGTTAATATTTCCATCAAGAGGCCATATAATCAAAGAGTATTTTGGTCTTTTTATGTTTGTCTATTTTCTTTTAATCCAGGTGTTTCGTCCTCCTCCTCCGATATTCGAAGATGGCTCTTCGAACAACGAGAATGGGAAGCCAAATCTACATCGTTTCGTTTGTTCCAACATGGGCCGGCGAGGTTTCTTAGGTTTTATGTTTAATGTTCTCATTTCTTTAGTCAAACATAGTCTTGGATGAGAAGAAAGGTCAAAATACCCCTAGATTACACGGCCCCTCTTGATGGAAATACTAACCGTGGGACTAAAAGTGGAACACATTCAATAATAGTGGTTCTAAAGTGGCAAAAAAAATTAAGGTGGACTAAAATTGGAAACGCCCCTATAACACTAGGACCAAAAATGGAATTCACTCGAATAAATATGTTTTCTATTTTTTATTTTTTTAAAAAATAGATAATTTTTTCCATTAGTAATCAGATCCAATATGTTTCAATAATATTATTGTAAATAAACATTTAAATTTAAAAAATCAGGATTTCGATTGTACTTCATGATAAAATTTTTTAGAACGACAAATCAAGATAGACAATGACAATAACACTTCATTTAATTTACAAAATGTTAATCAAACTGAATTATTTTTACCAAACAATTACCCAATGATATGATATTATTATGTATCAAAGTTAATTTCTATTTAATGAAAATTTGTGAATTGTTTAATCGTCATATTATAAGTT